ATCCAATTGATTGCATTACAGGTTTCAAAATATCGTGTTATAGCCCCATCCCACCCATAGCCGTTACAGTTTTGAATCTCTGCGTTAAGCCTGATGCTCCCGTCCCCGCTAGTATTTCTGTAAGCTTAACACGTGATAATGTGCTTACACTGCTCAAAGAATAATAAGGAATGAATTCCACTCTGATATGAACAAAATGTATTTACTTGAAGTTTAAGTTGCGTACGTTATATGTTTCCACGCGTAAATATATTTCTGATGGATGTTCCTTTAAACCACTGCTCTCGATAACAACTCATATAAACTCTACAAAATAAATAAATAAGAATAAACCAGGAAAATAAGAACGGAAAAAGAAGCTAACGCTTTGCAACGCCCTAAAAGAGTGGGTCAATTAGGAATGTAAATATGACAGATGCTTTGCTCGCGAGCACATTCATTTGGCAATTAAAATATAAACATTCAGAAAATTCAGCAGAATTCAGAAAAAATAAACTAGAACCAAATAATGCTTTGTTTGTTTGTAATTAAGCACAAAACTAGACAATGGGCTATCTGTGATCTGTCAACCACGGGTCTCGAAATCCGGATTCTAGCGTTGCAAGTGTAATTAATCCTTCACTCTAGTCTATTACTTTAAAATTAGGCAGGGTTATCGCAGGTAGTACTCGAGTCCTCAAAAAAAAAAAAACGTAACTGAATAGCAGAAGTAACTGCCACTATTATAACGCATTTACAACTGAAAGTGCAAATCGCGTTCAGCTGCATATCGCGGACTCGAATCGTGTATCTTCTGTGAACGATAACCACTAGGCCACTGCTGACCCAATAGGATTTTAATTAGAATTTTGAAAACTAGTGTTTCAACAACACTTAAAGGATGAGGGCAAATTGTAAAGTTTTTGTGTGCTACATCTAGAATCTGACAGATTTAACGCGTATTCGAAAATAATGTCAATTATTTCCAATATAACCCACAGTTCGAGGAAAACTACAGTATACTAACCTGTTTAACTATAAATATGAATACACAGAAACGGGTACTGGTGCTAACTAGTGTACGAAACGAATCGTGAATTATATAGCACCCTAACTTTTACAGGAAGTAACATGAGAAGAGAGCTTCTGGCTATCAACAACCTTGATTCAAGATAGAAATCTGGTTCATAAAACCAGTTCAGAACATTGTCCCTTCCTTTGGATTTATTCATTACAACCTGTTTGTTTGTTCTGAATTTCGCGCAAAGCTAGACGGGGGCTATCTGCGCTAGCCGTCCCTAATTTAGCAATGTAAGACAAGAGAGAAGGCAGCTAATCATCACCACCCACCGTCAACTCTTGGGCTACTCTTTTACCAACGAATTGACCGTCACATTATAATGCCCCCACAGCTAAAAGGGTGTGACAGGGATTTGAACCCGCGACCCTCAGATTGCGAATTGAGCGCCCTAACCACCAGCCATGCCGGGCCTCATTAGAACCTCGTGTTTACTCATAGGTATATGTCTATACCTAATACTCAGTTAAGGAGCAGATAGAAGTGATCTGAACACCACTTTTTAAGTGGTAATATGCAATTACACGTTGCATCTGAATGTGATAAATTACACCTGAAATACACCCGGTGTAGTGGTTAGTGCACTCGACTCACAATCTGAGGGTCGCGGGTTCGAATTTTATCACCGAACGTCTTTGCCCTTTTAGTCGTGGGAGCGCTATAATGTGACGGTCAATCACATTATTCGTAGGTAAAGAATAGCTGACAAGTTGGCGGTGGGTGTTGTGGATGGCTAGCGCAGAAAACACTCGAGTAGTTTTGTACAAAATTCAAAATAAACAGACAAAAGATACCAGTTATTTGATTCTAAAAAAATATGTAATACTTTCGATAATTATGTATAGCGACGAAGTATTTGTTGACATTTTCTGTTTGATTTTTAGTGCAAAGCTACACGATGAACTATCTGGGTAATGCCCACTGCAGGTACGGAACCCCGAATTTTAGTGTTATAAGCCCTCGTGCTTACCGCTAAGTCACTGGGGGTCTTGTTGACTTATCCAGAAAAAGAAAAAAGTGTGCCCTAAAACGTTTCATAGTATAAACTTCTTGCTGTTGAACCGAAAAAGATTAAATGTGTTTTCCATTACAAAATACGGAAATAGTTAGAAAATTTGATTACCACCACCAAGTTTAATGAAACTTAACTAGCGTGTTAGAACATAGTAACATAATTAATAACGTACAAACATAGAACATAATCTAAGGATGACTTATCTGAACTGACTGTAAAGGAACCGATGATTATCTAAAGAAAGTAAACGAGTGAATCTGTTAAACGTATAAAACTAAAAATGTGTGTGTGTGTGTGCATGTTTTCTTGTAGCAAAGCCACATCAGACTATCTCTTGTGTCCACTGAGGAGAATCGAACCTCTGATTTTAGCGGTGTAAATCCGAAGACTTACCGCTGTCCCACCGGGGGAAATCTAAAAATGTGCATCGTTACGAATAAATAGTCCACATGGGGATAAACAGTGAGTAGTTCACTTGAGGATAAACAGTGAGTAGTTCACATAGGGATAAACAGTGAGTAGTTCACTTGAGGGATAAACAGTGAGTAGTTCACATGGTGATGAACAATGAGTAGTTCACAATGGGATAAACAAT